TCGATTAATTAATTTATAGCCTTGAAGTAAATTCTGCGAGCTTTCAGTTCTACTAAATTCACCATTTTCATTTTTAGCGATCATGTTTATAGATCCCGAAACATTGTTTAAGTATAAATTTATGGTCATTAAATCTTCTGCTATATACATTTCGTCCATATCCCATAACGCATCTAACATGATCATTATGATTTCATCATGAGATTTAATTGCTAAACCATAATTTCTTAATTCTAGTTCAGAAATTGTATTTTCGAAGTTAAATAAATACTGCTCACTGTATTTGAAATAATTAAAAAAATATTTAGAGAAATTGCAATGCAATTCTAAATGGTNCTGTATTTGAAATAATTAAAAAAATATTTAGAGAAATTGCAATGTAATTCTAAAGGGTCCATGGAAATAGAACATTTAGTATAGACAATAACAGATATGAAAATTATTGTATTTAAAATTTTCATATTGATGTAAACTTCACTACTTGAAAATTTAAAATAAATTCTTGACAACATTAAAAATTAACACTTTATTTAAATTTAACCTAAAAAGAAGAGTAAACATTGTACAATTATTTATTTAATCCTTTAAATAATATTTTATTTGCTTTAACTGTATTTACTTTAAATCTCAAAATGTATGTTTCGATTTTTTTAAATTTTAGTTTATATACTTTTAAACATATGACATTTTATAATATAAAACTAAATTAATTCCTCTTAATTTAATTTTCGCTTAGGTTTTGCTGAGAATATTGTATTTACTATGTTGTATTTTTTCATGTGTTCTTGTTTAATTTTATTCATTAACTGAGTGAGAAAAATGCTTATGTATAATTATTCGCAAAATAATTAAAATAATTATTAATTTTTAATATGTTAAAAGTAATCATTTTGAACTTACTTTTTTTTTTCCTTTAAAGAGAAAGTTGTAATAAAAAAAAATTAATTTATTCATATAACTTTTAAATGAAATTTTTAAGATGTTATGAAGAAATTTAGCAGAAAAGATCTTTTTTGCATTTTTACCATAATAGTTCACTTAAATAAAGATCATAGTATTAATTGCTATTTAACTTTTGTTGATTTAAAAGATTCTACAATTGAATAATTCAGAACTTAGTTAATTTTAATAATTTACTTTAACTAAAAGAACCAACGAAAAAAAAATGTTAAAATGATTTACTCAATTGAGTATATTAAAATATTTGATTAGAATTGTAAAAATTCATCTTTAAATTCAGGTGAAACTAAAAATAGTTTTTTTTTTTTAATTTATGATTTATAAAGCAACATATTACAAGACAATTTGGAATATTATAGACTGATAGTAGCACACACAAAAAGGGTAAAAAAATTAATAAATTACAAAGTAAAATTATTTACTTTTGTAGTTGAATACTTATATCATATCAAATCTAATTCGACAATAAATACTGTAAGGTTTCAGCCAAACCAGAGGGCCTACTAATTACCCACTGCCCAGGGGGAACACTGGACAGTGACCTAGTAGCCGCGCCAAGCAAGATAGTACTTGTTGACGGAGCTACTAGGTTTTGATTAAAAAAAAAACAAATATTAATAAAAAGAGAAAGGCCATGTATATTATATTTTACTTTTTAATTATTGAAAATTTAAATGTATAATTTTAAATATATATAGTCATGAGAAAAGAGGAAAAAAAAACAAAAAGAAGAAAAAGAGGTGCTATATATATAATATTAATAAGGGGTTTGAAAAGGGGGGTTTCATGTTGTACTTGATGTTGTTGTTCTTGAGGAGTGATGGCCCACCACCGGCCATAGTTGCGCCTCACATCACCACAATCATTGACATCTCGACGTTTTTATTTTACAAAAAAACGGAGGACAAAAAAAATACAATGAACAGCCTGGTGACGGCTGGTCGACTCAACGTTTTATTTTATTAAAAAAAAACGGAGGACAAAAAAAAAATACAAGAAAACGTGGTTTTCACAAAAAAACAGACGACTTGTCGTCTCGGTAGTTTAGATAAAAAAAAATCATTTTCGCGGCATTTGAATAGTGACCGGTGATCATGATGTCGCCGGGTGGTGGGGGTGCCAACTTTGAACTGGTTCATAGGGAGAATACAAAAGTGTAGGGATGCACTGTGTGCGGTCAACTGTCACAACAAACCGGGTACTGACCATTGGATTGGTTGATTGGTATATAAACTAATTTAATAATTGGGGATATACATAATACCTAATGCACACACTATTAACTGATAAGATTTATATATTAAAAACAAAAACTTGTATAAATTCTACAACATTACAATACTTTAAGAATATTAGAAATTAATGATTTTAATTGTTTCTATATAATACGAATTGTAATTATTTGACCTATCATTGAAAAAAGTAGTTCAAGTGAGGGTTAGGAAAATAAATCGCAGCTACAAATAAAACCACATAGTAAAATAATAATAACATGAATATAAATTTCTTCTCACGTGAGGAGACTATAGTGATAGGATCCTTTATATTTATTGAAATTATTGAATCTAACTGAGATAAATATCAAATGATTTGAAAATTTTATTCTAACTCAAAAAATATGCAAAATATTAATAGCCATAGATGGATTTTAACTTAGTACCCGTGCGTAAAAGACACATGTGTTTCCAATTCGGCAACTGTTCGTTGCTTTCTCACACGTTAAAATTGGCTATTTAAGCTAACTCAAATTTAAAAATTACTTTTACAACTTTAAAAAAGTAAAAAATTTTTAATATGTTTAATTTCTTATGTCTTATGAACATTATTCTATGTCAATTAAATTATATAATATTCATGAAAGTCAGGGTATTCTCCTAATAAGATATTTTAAAATAAAATAAAATACAAAACCTAAAATTTTAATTAAAAAATAGCATATTTTTGAATACGGTAGCCATTTGCACGTAGAAGATAGGTCGCCGGAAAATTTTTTTTTTAATTTTATAGTACATGATATAAGCTTTAATTTGACATATGTTTAAAGGACGCAGTATTTCCGGAACATTTTCAAAAGTTTAGTTGAAAAAGTTTTATGTTTTATACAATTTTTCAAGTTTTCAACGCCCTCTATATAAGGGGAATTGTTTAATTTTAGTAAAAAATATGTCAAATGAAAGTTGTACTTATGATGTATTTAGGAAAAAAAAATTTGTGCTAATACATACATTTTTTGAAAAGTTATAGCATTTTTAAGTTGAAAATTTAAAATCGAAAATTTTAACACAAAATTAGCGTTTTTTTAACTACGGCAGCCGTTTACATGCAGAAGATAAAGTGAAGCTAATATATTGTTTGATATTAGAACCAAAACAGGGCATTGACAAAATAAAATAATTGAAAATTATATTATGTTTAATATCATAAGAATTTTTATTTTGATAATAGAAATTTATATTTTAGCTTTGATGCAAAGCTGAGAAGGTATACATTTTACCATGACGTGTTTATTTTTTTTAGCTTCGATGCAAAGCTGAGAAGGTATTAATTTTACATATATTATATAATTTAATTGACATAGAACAAAGTTCATAAGACATACGAAATTAAACTTATTAAAATTTTTTTACTCTTTTAAAGTTGAAAAAGGAGGAAGTCATATTAAAGGACGCCATTGACCTGTTCCTATCCTGCCCCCCCATTCCCTGACCCTGCTAAGGAAGAATAACCCGCAAACCCCCCATTACCCTCGTTCACATTATGCGATCGACCAACACCCAACCCACAAAAGCGCGATAACGCGCGAACAACCAGCTCGTCATAACAAACACCGTAAGTATTATTATAAAGCTTTATGTTACCAATTGGTAATCGCGCCACGCGTTATACAATTCACTGAGAAGACCGGCGGCTTGGCGGGGGGGTATTTGCATAGTTGTAAAAAATACTTTTAAAAAGTATTTTAAATAATATTCAAATATTTTAAAAAAAATGTATTTAAAATACTATTTGAATACTTTTCATACAAAAGTATTTGAGTAATACTCAATTACTTTACAAAAGTATTTCAAATACTAAGAATACAATTAAAAAATAATAATAATGTTTTTATTTTAACTAAGAGCAAAATGTTCCTCCTAAATAATTACCAAGAGGGTAATTTGAGTCAAATATTGAGTACTCTTAAATTAAAAGAACTCATTTATTATTTTCGATATTTTTTGTTAGAAATAAATAAAATTAATTATTGGAGACTAATCAGTGAAAAAAATAAATATTAGTACACGTGTAAAAACCTGTAAAGTATGTCTTATTGACAATAGAGTAAATCATTTGAACCTGCATTGTAGGTTCAACTGATGTATTAAAAATAGATGTATAGTATACATTGTATACATAATAGCATTTAGATAAACACAATAATTATGTTATACTATAATGTAACATATAAAATAACAGAGAATTATTCTCAATTTTCATTTTGACTCAGTTTAATTTGCTTGCTGTGTTACGGTTAGCAAATTAAAAAAAAAAAAAGTATATTAGTAGTACTGAATATTAAACAGTATTAAATACTAAATAATTGTATTTAAATTACTACTCAGATACTTTTTATTAAATGTATTTAAAAATACTATTCAATACCAATGAAAGTATTTGAATACTTTTATTCAAATACATTTACTCAAATACTTTACGCCTTTGGGTATTTGACACGGTCCCCCGGCGTTCTTGGTACACGGAGTCCCGCGACCTGTGACCCCTTTATCAGCCGTAGCCCTACTACGTGCATATAATAGTTTGTCTGACTAACACCGCGTGCGATACGCCACGGTACAAAGTCCAGCAAGTGCCGCACGTTCATCTACGATTCGCCGCAAATATACATTAAGTAATCTCCGTGACACCGCACGATACGGATTGTCTGCTTATTACGCCTTACCAACCCGCAGCATCTACGATATTACCGTCGGTTTCTATTAAATATTAAGTATATTGTATATTTTATTTTGTTCTTGTTTGTGACTATTTTCTGAAGAAACAATATACGGCTTCACGCCACTTTGTAATAAAACAAATCCTGTTCGTTCTTCATTTGGTGCTCTACGACGATAGTCGTTACACAGAATAATCGTGGTCGTCCAGTAGTTGCATTTGAAAAGAGTAGCGAACAAAACAAACGGAAAACTACTCAAGAACTGAGAAATAAGACGCCTGTTAATATGTTAAGTCATGCAGCACAGATGAGCTTAAGAGCATCGGCACAAATTGAAGCAGCAAAATTACTGAAGGAAATAACTACATCCACACCCACACGTGCAAGTAGATATAGAAAAGTATTTGTGCAGTAACAAGCACCTAAAAAACTATCGGGTGAAGATGCACTAGCTGTTTTAGTAGATGCTAAGCTATCTCGACATCAGTACAATATTATTCGGATGAGTGCCCTTGATAAATTTCCATCATACAAAGTCGTACAAGAAAGTAAAAAACAATGTTATCCGAAACCAAAAGATATACAAGTAACTTCTATACACGCAGAAGTTTCTTTACAAGCATTACTTGATCACACAGTAGAAAGATTATTTTTAGTGCAAAAGCCTGTTATTGACTTACTCCCAGAAATTGAATTGGATAAGTTTATATTATATTCGAAATGGGGCTTTGATGGTAGCTCTGGACATAGTCCATATAAACCAACTTTTTGTAGTCCTGGATCCAGTGATTCGGCTGTATTTATTACAAGTTTAGTTCCACTTCGCTTGGTAAATGATGACCAAATTATAAGGCAAAATACACGTCCTGCATCAACTAGATATTGTAGGCCTATAAAAATTTAATTTATAAAAGAATCTACGAAGACATCTATAGCTGGGAAAGAAAAAGTTCAGAGTCAAATAAAGAAGTTAAATAATAATACTGGGACTTTTGATAATAAATCATTTATTGTAACTCACAATTTGATTTAGCAATGGTTGATGGAGAAATATGTAATGCACTAACAGATACGACATTAATACTTAAATGTTTCTTGTGTGGTGCAAAATCGAAAGAGTTTAATTTAATTGATGAAATCGTTAAACGAGAGGTAAAAACTGATCATTTATCTTTTGGGATATCAGTTTTACATGGGTGGATTCGTTTTTTCGAATGTCTCCTCCATTTATCTAAAAATTACCACTCAAAAAATGGCAAGCTAGAAGATATGTGGAAAAAATATTTGTTTCAGAAAACAATCATAAAATCCAAAAAGAATTTAAAGAAAAATTAGGATTACTTGTATATAAACCCAAACCAGGATTTGGAAATTCTAATGATGGTAACACAGCTAGGCGTTTTTCTCAAAATTCAGAAATTTCTGCTGAAATTACAAAATGAGACATAAAATTAATAAAAAAAATACATATAGTAATGATAGTAGTAGCTAGTGGACACGAAATAAAAGTCAATGAGTTACGAGAATACACGTATAAAACTGCAAAATATTTTGTTAAGAAGTATCCGTGGTATAATATGTCACCCATAATGCACAAGTTTTTTATTCATGGACCAGAGATAATTGAATCTACTTTATTGCCAATAGGACAGTTGACTGAAGAAGCTCAAGAAGCACGAAATAAAGATTTTAAGAGATATCGGGAGCATAACTCAAAGAAATTTTGTGGTGAAAAAACTAATTTAGATATATTAAATTTGTTTTTATTAAGTTCAGATCCAGTAATTTCAAGTAAAAGAAAACTGCCAAGAAAAAAACACAATTAATGCCAATTGAAACACTTGCATCACTCTCTTCAATATGTCAAAGATAGTGATGATGATGATGATGATATCGATGATTATGATAACGATAACCATGACTAATTTTAAACATAAAACTTAAAATAATACATTTTTCTTTTATTAATAAATTGAATAGCTATTTTTGTTAAAATGTCTTTAAAATAAATAAATACCTTATGTTAATATTATGTAAATGACTTTTTACATGTCTGATAGACAAAAATAAAAATAATATTAATTTTAGGAATATATTTTTTGCTCTATGATTTAATACCAACTTTTGTAGCTCGTTGCCCCACTGTGTGGCGGCGCGTTATTCGGCGAGCAGGTTCGCGGGCGGCAGTGACGACAGAATACCCGCCGTCACTCCGAACATCGTTCGGTACGCCGAAACTGTCCGAATAGCCGCCCGCCTCTGCACCCTGAGCAGGGCTTCACGGTTTTTGGACGAATACTCAAAAGTATCCGCCCAAACTGGTGACCCGTACAGGAGGACTGAGTGTACGACGCTGACTAAAAGTCTGCGCCGCATCTCCCTCGGCCCTCCCAGATTGAGCATGAGTCCCGCCTGGCTTGTCACCCTTCCTCAGAAGTACCAAACAAGCCTTCTTCCACCTCGTGGGGAATTCACCCTCAAAGAGGCAGCGGTTCACAACGGGACGTATCTAATCCGGGGCGAGGTCGTTTTCCAACCCCCATACCAGGTTTGCAATCGCGTCGGGACCTGGAGCAGTATTCCGACCCCGCCGCGCGCCACCGCGTCGGCCACCTCCTGGACGTTTAATTTCTCCTCCTACACGTTATCCCCGAACACCTGGGGAGGCAGGACGGATATGTCGTGTAATAACTAAAAATAAAGTTGATGGCGATGGTATTAATAAAGAAGAATGATAATGACATCATCCGTAAAGACAATAAATAAAAGTAAAAAAAATTTTTTTTTTTTTAATAGTAATCATTTTTTTATAGTAATTACTTGTTGAATAAAATACTTATATATATTAGTAATATTTAACTATATTAAAGTATATGTATTTGGATACATTGTGACTAAAATACATAAAATGTTTGATAAAGTTAAATTATTGAATTGATCGTCATAAAAACATAGCAGAGTTAATAACTTATTTTGTAGTTTGAATATATAAAGTATTAATTTTATTAAATAAAATATTACGTTGTTTATGCCGATATAACATTTTGTATAAATATCGTTATTTTAATTACTATGTAATATTACTAATATGATATTATGAATATATATATAAATATATTTATTTTTTTTTATTAGTTGGGGTTCTTTCAAATATTTAAGCATTTTTTTTTTTTTTAAAGAATACTACTGTTTAAGGTGTTTAATCACGATAATATTGTGTAAATTGTAATAAGAAATTTGTTTCTTTCATCTATTATGTTTTTATAATTTGAAAAGAATTATTATAAAAATGAGATTTTTGTGAGATTAAGAAATATATAACAAAAATCTTAATTAAATATTTTATGTAATTACTTTTAAAAAAACATTAACTATAAATTAGGAATTATGTTTTTTTTTTTTTTAAACAATATTTATATTTAATTTTGAATTGTTAAAATAAAAGTGTTTTCTTTATAAAAGTATTACATTAAACTAAGATTCATTAAAATATACAAAACTTTTATGGGTCTGAGACTTAAAAAGTTAAAAGAATTTTTTATAAATAAAAATAGAGTATAAATTGTAATATTAAATTGTGAATTTTTTGTTTTATTTTATAAAATAATTATCTTGGGGGTTTCGAAGCTACTAGTCGGGTGCCACTTGTAATAACTAAAGATAAAGTTGATGGGGATGGTATTAATAAAGAGGAATGATAATGGTATCATCCGTAAAGACAATAAATAAATGTACTTTGTTTCTAGTTATTACCTGATTAGTGTAGTTAGTGTGTTTAAACTACTCTTACCTGATATATCTTGGCTGCAAATCGAGTTCCACGGTTTAGAGAGGAGAAGAAGTACTTAAGGTTTATTAGATATTAAATTAGAAAGACAAATTATTGCATAAGCGTATATTATAAACAATTAAATAGTTATTTAACAAGAATGCATTTTACATTATACTACAGAGTTATATTAAAGAAGAAGACACCAAGTATTAGTATATTAGTAAATAAGTAAAAAACTGAAAAATAAAAGAATGAGCAAAGCTTACTACTTAAGTGAAATCGCGAGCCTAGAAAAAATAGCAGTGACTCTTTAATGAATGTCAAAGGGCTGTTAGGTCTGTTATAATGAATCATAGTAATACAATTTTATGTGATAATATAAATTATTTAATTTAAAGAAAGGTGTCCTTTACAATGTGGTATGAGGAGTGATTTGTATGGTATCATTGTTTGTTTAGGATATGTAAACAAACAATGACGAGTAATGTGTTGTATATTGCTAATCCATACGTGAAACTGTATGAGCTCATTTATGACTTATTCGGTAAGGATTATGTAAACAAAATTAATCGACTACACGCCTAAGCGACGTTAGTGAATCTCTGCTAAGCATAGGTGAAATGTATTGATTTCATTAGGTAATATAAAAAAATATTACAGTCGGATAGAGCGTGTTTACCCACTGTCGAGGGGAAGACTGGACAGTGATCTAGTAGCCAAGCTAAGCAAGAATAGTACTCGTTAACGGAACGACTAGGTTTTAATTTTAAAAAACAATAACTGATAATAAAAAACCCAGCACAGGGGGGTCGCGGCACAGTGGTGACGTGGTATAGATGGATCAAGTATAATGATATCTGACAGTGATTAAAATCACTATAAAAAAAAAACGCTTCGATGCAAATCTTTAGATACTGTTTAATTTTAAAAAATTGGTGGACTATTCCAAAAGCTACATGATCTGCTAATTCCTTATTAATATCCTAATATATGAAAAAGGGTTTATTAAAAAATAATATTTCTCATAAAAAAATAATGTTGATCCATACACTTTTCAATATGTCATAGCATTATAAAGTTATTTTCACACAATAATAGCATTCGGTAGCCATTTTCATCGTGAAGATAAAATAAAGTCCGAAATTTTTTTTCTGCATAATAAAGTAAATTACATTAGCTTTAATTTAAGATATATATAAAAGTGTCAGACTTTCCGGAACACTTTCAAAATTTAAGTTGAAAAAGTTCTACTTTCTACATGCATTTTTTAGATTTGAACCCCCCTCGTATATAGGGAAATGGTCGGATTTAAAAAAACAGTATGTCAAATGAAAGATGTATATAAATACTACTCCTCATGAAAAAATTGTACTGATCCATACATTTTTCAAAAAGTTATAGCATAATAAAGTTAAAAATGTAAAATACAAAATCGAAAATTTTCACACAAAAAAAGCATTCGGTAGCCATTTTCACCGTGAAGATAAAATAAAGTCCGAAATTTTTTTTTTGCATAATAAAGATTATTACATTAGCTTTAATTTAAGATATATATAAAAGAGTCAGACCATCCGGAACATTTTCAAATGTTAAGTTGAAAAAGTTACTTTTTTTTTAAAAAGTTGTCATTTTTAAATCCCCCCTTGTGGGCAGGTTAAGAGTTAAATTTATGAAAAAAACATACCAAACAAAAGGTAATAATATTACACATCTAAATAAAAAAGAATTATATTGATATGTTCATTTTTGAAAAAGTTATGGTACTTTTAAGTAAAAAAAATTGAAAAAATTGAAAAAATTAGCGATTTTTACATTTGTAATTTTTTTGGAGGTTTCCCCCATTTACGGGGAACGAGGGCATTTTTTTCAATTTTTGAGGGTAATGTCTTCGACTAGATACAATTTGTGATCTTTTGACGTATCATTGAAAGAAATTGGTTCGGTGAGAGCTGAGAAAAAGTGGTAACAGACAAAAAAAAAAAAAAAAATAAACACATCTTAGTAAAACCAATACCTTCTCAGCTTCGCATCGAAGCTAAAATGAAGGAAAAGTACAAAAAACATAAGCCATGAATAATATAACAATATTTTTGTTTAATTATTTAAAATTTTTATGTATCATTCATATACATATTAGTTTTTTTTAGTTATTATCGAGGTGGACATAATGCCCATGCACTCAGACCTGTTGGTCCATTGTGCGCACCTCATACCGAATTGTCTTGATTCGGTTTACCCACCTAAGTTTTATCACCAAAGTGTTAATACATTACCAACCATAAAGTCACCTCTAAAGATGACCAAAAGACCTAAAGACCTAAAGAGTCCACTCTTTCTGGCGAAATTAAGTATCTCTCTGGGTTTTAGGTTTTTAATATCTTCTTTTTCAGGAAAAGGTTTTTCAAGTAGTTTGATCTTAGTGTGGACAAGGCTTCACATTTGCACATGATGTGAAATGAGTCTTCCACTTTTAATTCCACACTTCCTGAACAATGGTGATTCTGGTACCCCCATTGCGTTAAGATGTTTAAGCAGGTAACCATGTCCTGTCAATAGACCATTCAGGGTACTTATTTGATGTCTAG